TCGAACTTTTTATTATTAATCTAAAGAGGAAATTTGCCCAGAAGGACTATTAATTTCGTTTTGGCATTTTGCTCAACTCACGATAAGCGTTTTTTTCACTTTGTAAATTGTTGCCAGCCAATATTATCGCCCTGTATTATATTTAAAGAAATTAAATAATGAAGAATCTGCATGAATGTATGTATGTTTCTCGCATTGTCATATAACAACGTCACCTAAAGACATCAAAATTTGAATGACGTAATCTTCCATAGAACATGAACAAATGGGAGGCCTAATTTGAATTTGAAATTTGTTTTATTATCGATTTCCTATTTTGTAACACTTTAACAAATTTTTTGCTTAACAAGCTCAACGATTTCAAAGCGAGCAATGGCAACACTGCTCGGGGGGGGGGGAAACATTTTTTTATCTCCAGCGCGCGAGACTGTGTATCGAAAATTCTAAAGATATGCTCTTTTAAAATTATTTTGTGATATTGCTGTTGAATTGAATTTTATGGTTTAAGTACGACGAGCATGGTATTTAATAAATAAAGGTAACTTACAAAACGTTAAAAAAAACGCCCCTTTAGACGTAATTTAAAATCTGAAACGTTTCAGTTTTTTCTTTTTTTTTAATTTTCAGGAATTTTTATTATTAAAAGTTGATATTAGCAATACATAAGTTTATAATTAATGTGATAAAAGAGTATTTAACTATAAATGTTACAAAATAAAACAATACCAAAAAACAAAGAACTGGTAGATTTTCTTATTCTCTCTTTTTTTTTTTTCCTTTATCCACATTATTTACGGAGAAAAGATGACCTCGTTAAACGCCATTTTGTTCAGCACTGGAACTTATTGAACGTATCCCCGCGTTAAAGTGTGTTTTTTTTTGGGGGGGGGAGCGTACTATTGTACTTAGTTATTTATTATCATAAAATAAAGTTTACAATTTTTCATTTTTGTTGCCTAGTTTTAATAATAACATCTTCAAAACTCTTTATTGAGAAAAGCAATTAAATTATAAACGTATTTTTTCTTCCTTATGATTCTTTCAGGTAGCATTGTCTTTACAATAAATTAATTAACTGTAAGGTATTAAAGGTTAATACATATTTTATAATAAAAATGTAAGGTATTAAAGGTTAATACATATTTTATAATTGTATTTAATAAATAACACTTATAAAATATGTATTAACCTTCTGTTTATGTTACAGATAAAACTTCTGATCAAAAGTTTTATCTGTAACATAAACAGAAGTTAAATTAGAATTTAGAAGTCTAAATTAAGTTAAATTTTAGAAGGAGTTAGGAGTATATTGTAGATTGCTTGAATCTAAGGGCTCCCACAACATTGCTTAATGGGTCACTTCTATTTTACCTTCCTAGATTCTGTATATTCCTGCTGTTAAAATTCTAATATTTTATTATTTATTGCACATTGTAGTTACTATTCAAGGAACTGAAGTATGTAAAAAGAAATTAAGAAAACCAATTAGATTTTTAATGAAGAAATTAACTTGAAATGATCTGCGAATCACAATGCATTAAATATCAAATAGAAAAAAAATAGCACACTGTAATATTAAATTCGCAAAAGTGAAGTAACGTGAAGAATGAAAAATTTATAGGAATATTAAATTTAATAATGTCACATTTTAAAAAATTTAATAACGTGACTTCCACGTTACTAAGCTTTGGTGGCAATCTTTCTTTCTTTTTTTTTTTTTTCCCCAAGACGATGAAATAGATTTTATCTTAAGTTCTTCAGATCAAATTTTCGAAAAGATGTGTTAATTTCGTTTCTAGGTTCGAAATCTCAACAAATCCTCTTCTCTTTAGGTTTCAAGTATGAATTTTTGAAATTAAAACCATTTAAAAATATATTTCTATAAAAAATAAACGAAATTATATATTCTCCTGAGCAAGAAGTAGTACAGGTGACAGATGAGAGCAGGTCCGGACAACCGGATGGCTTACATAGATTAATAATCGGGTATCATCCCGATCCCGCAACTATCTGAAACTACACTCCGAAAACAATACTAGGGAAAAGTACATGGCCATACAAGGGCAAAATATAGATTTTTCTGCATACGGAATTAAACATTTTCCTGGCTACATCGCATGTTACAACAGATAAACAAATTAAGAGATCTTAAATAAAGAGCAAAATTGCACATTACAAATAAATTACACATTTGCACACAGAAATATACGTTGTTTAATTTGTGCTGTACTTATAATGTACAAAATACAGATTTAAACACACAATACAGCCCATATTACTTTTGATTAAATAACATTATGTTAAAAGTTAACTGTGGCATAAATTGTGCTGCATTCTTAAAACATATCAAAAATAACTTTGTAATTAAACATCCTACTAGTTACATTGCACTTTAACACACTGCTATAAACAAAACAATCAATACATTAAAATTTTTATAATACATATTACATTGAACACTGCGCAATATTTAGGACACCTTAAAAAACTCATTTCTACACTTTATGCACTGAGTGTATTGACTAACATATTACACTGAGCATTACTCTTGATTAAATAACATAGGCACTGGTAGTAACTTTTTGTTATATAAAACATAATTTTTAATACAAAAAGTTAGAAACTGTTAGAAATACACACTGAGGAAAACAAAAAATTACAGAATCCAAAAACATGCAATCATTACCTACTGCTGTGAATATCACATGCAAAGTATAGGTGTCTTGTTTGGCAACCCATAGCATTTTATGCACGAAGCATAATACATTCCATACAGATGAATATTCATAATTGCTTTGCTCAATATCTTTCATCACATTAACTCTACCTGTGCTAGATACATTAAATACTGTATTTGCCATGCACTATACATTTCATAAAATGCACGTTAACACACTGCTATATATAAATCACTCAATACACTAAAATTTACAGAACGCAATAATATTTACAAACATATAACTACTATAATATTTACATTCTGTGCTCTTGACTACATTAAGTTGTAGTACTACAGTTATAGTTACTATGCTTCCTGCGGCTCAAAGCATAGCTCTGCATGCTACGAGCACTTACACATTTTACCGAGGTACTATACACAGTGTGCTACACAAGAAGTAGTACAAATGAATCGTTGTAGAACTGTAGTTTTTTCGTGTTTAGATATTAATATGTGTTTTGGCATTATTATTAAAAAGTAAAATATTTTTGCTTACGTATGGATCCGTAATAGATCGAATGCACACAGGTCCAATGATAGGTTGATATAATTTATCAAAAGAAACACTTGAGAGTTCCGAAACTTTCCTCAAAACTTCCCCTATCAATCTTCACAGTATCGCAGAGTGCAACCAGTAGTGGCAATTCAAAATACTAAGAACGTTATACACAACTCTAAAGAGCGAAGCTAACCCGGAGATAGTTCTCGGAACTCACGTTGAGCTAAAAGCTAACAACAACTGAGAGCAGATGCTCTGTCCGGCCTTAGATAGTTTTCACCGGGAATATTCTCGAAGGCAGGTTAAAGCTATAAACAACCTGCCTGTAAGCGGAGTAATACTATCTTGAATTTAGTAGTGTAGTAGAAATATGTCTTGAGTTCAGAGTGGCAGTGAAGAGAAGAGTGACTTGAGTTCAGCTTGACAGCAATCGACTGAGTCGGGAGCTGGACTTTAGTGCTTTGCCGTAGAGCTGTCTTTAGCATTATAGCCTGATAGCCTGAAAGCTCTGTTGCTGATTGTTTTAGGGTGTTAGTCGTAGTGTTACGACGACAGTTACGTGACTTTGGAAAGGGCTTACTGGCGAATAAATTGTGTTTTGATTTTTTATTAAGTGTTACCTTCAGCTACTCCAAATACACGAACCGGTAGAACTCAACAATGCTTTTGTAACTACTAAAGAAATTTACATCCACTTCTTTCCTTTAGCTCAATATATGTGTTTAGCAGTTTATCAGTTTTAGCCCAATATATGGTTAAGTATTTGGTACAATATGTATCAGAGTATGTAACTAATTTAAATGATCATAAAACCCTTAATATAAACGATATGCATAACAGTACATGGAACTTTTTTTTTAAATGAAAGACAAACTCATTGAATTTTTAAAGCAAGCAGCATAAGCATCATTTGTCACCCAAACAAACGGTAGTCTACTTCCAGCTGTGTTGTTTTTGGAAGATGAACATTAACTTGTCAGGAGTGTTGTTCCTTCTAATCGCCTTTTGAAACATAACTGGAATCCTGCGTAGGAACAGGGAGCTTACTCAAAACCACGTTCGTGCGTGTGTAAAAGATACGACAAAGGTAAGAAGGGTTAAATTTACCCTTTATTTCTCACAGCGTACAGCCGTTCCCGCACTTCGGGATACAGAAACCTGCACTTATGATCTAAAACGTAGCAAATAAGAAATAAACTAACTTCACTAAATAAGAATTAAGATGCTTTACAGAGAGTAGTAATGCGAAGATTGGCCTTTTAACATTAAGCATTTAGTGAGCGAAAAACAAAAAACTGCACTGCGTCTTCAAATATCAGCGAGAACTGAGTCCTGGCCTTAAAGGCAGACATGAACTGACTGAAAAGCACGCGCGTGGTAAGGCAGCAATAGGTCTCTCTCTCTTTTTTAAATACTTACACAGTTTGCAAGCTCATTAACATAAACAATTCTTTTGTTCTTATTGTGGCCGGAAATGGAAAATAAGAGAGAATAGCAAAGTTTTAAAATAAAATAAACGTTAGTAAAACTTAAAATCCTTACAAACTTTACGAATTACGTTTGTTCACCTCTTATTTCTTAAGATGGGACAGTTGTGGCGTAAACTCATTCTTAATAAATCCTTTTATAGTCATAATAGTAAACGCTCGCAGTTCTTAGCTTACCGTCGAATTTTTTTAAACCTTTCTATAAAATGTTCACGTTTAGGATAATTTAGGATAATAATCTTTTTGTTATATCCGTTACACTACTGATGTCTAAATTTTGTGCACATCTTTCTAGGAGTCGAAAAGAAGAGGTAAAAGGATGGGACGTGTTTGTTGTCACACCTCCAGAAGAAGAAGACGAAACGGCCACTTCCAGAGCCATTGACATCACTTTAAAATTTTTGAAACTCTTTGTGTATTTGGTGACGTTCTCTGTGGTCATTGTTTCCGCAGTGATAGCGAAAAGTACTTTTCTTTTCATTACATCTCACATACGAGAAAGTAAAACACTACCAGTCTGCAGGCGAGGATTAGGTAAGCACATCTGTTTTACTGGTATTTGAATTTTAGATTTTTAAGTTTCAAAATAAAGAGAATATTCAACCTAAAACAAATGAGAAAACTGCTAATAAACTATTTGGGTATATGAAGAGCATATACCCAAATATTATCTGAAAAACTATTCGATACTGAGAAGAAAAATTATTTCAACAGAGTGTTAGCAAAATTAATTTTAACGTGCGGCATCCTCCCATGTAAATATTCATAAAATTATTTCAAAGGTTTTTAATATCTTTTACTGGTTGCAATAACAAAGGTTAATGAAAGTTAACCTTAAATATAGGTTATTTGTGTTGTTTCACTCAAAGACTTTATTTTGATATAGTTAAACTTGTGATAGTTCTGTAGAGACATTAGGTTATTTCGAGGCCGGAGAGATGAAAAATGAGCAACCGCCTTCGCCGAGAATCGAACAGCGGACCTCTGGAATGCGCGCGTGCAGACCACCATACTACGAAGGCATGCTAGGAAGACGGGAGAAATATCTTATATACTCCCCTTTTAAAGGGCGACTGGGGTTTTAGGGGACCCAATCGAAAAATCCTGGATGTGAAGAATCATCATCCAACACCCTTTTAGTTCGGGCGCCACTTGTAGAGACATTAGGTATTTTGGGAGCAGGAAAGATGAAAAATATGCAACGCCTTCGCCGGGAATCGAACCACGGACCTCTGGATACGCGGTCAGCGTGCAGACCACCACACCACGTAGGCATGCCATGAAGGTGAAAGAAATACCTTATAGTTCAAGTAAATGCGTCAAAAGAAGGCAATTAGATGTCATCCAAAAGATGATGTGACTCTAACAGCTCTTTCAGTAATCTGAATTTTTTAAATCAGCATTTTTAATGACCCAAACTTTACTGTAGCATTTTAAAAATTAATCAAAAACTCTAAACAAATTATTTTTGAATGCATTGCATTTGATGCAAAATAAAACTGGCATTTAATACTAAAGTAGAGTTTTAAAGCCCATTTTTCTTCATATGAAATAACACCTTTTTTATATATCGGGCATACAATCATTTAAGGTAGTTAAAGCTTATGAATTGGTCTGCTAAAATTCTTGTTTTGCTCTAAAGAGTTTGGTATTATTAACATGCAGCATTAATGAAATATAAATATCCAAAAATTCTAGAGTTCAAAATTTTCATAAAATTCGGAATAGCATTCCCTCTTTTTTTAAAAAAAATCACATTACTTAAAATCTTTTCTCAGGTTACATGTTACTTGAACGTTTATGTAAACCTCTAATATTACGAAAAGAATTTTATAGCTGAAAATAAACTGTACCGAGTCAAACACAAGAAGTCCTAACAACTGCTTGTAGACTAATTGTTGCACCACTAGAGCAGATTGGAAAAATGACTTCTTCTAACCTTCTTTTCAAAAGGTGAACTGGAAGAAGCAGATGACTACCACTCGCAATATGGATTCACCAATCGTTGAATCCATATTGCGAGGAATTATAATCTATGATTTTCAGTTCAGCTGCATTACGAAATTTGAAAGTAAAAATAACTGAAAATAAATTATGATAGATGCTCCCATACCAGTCAAGCAAAGGATCCATAGCCTAATTTATAAATCAGAAGTGCCGGAGCCCTGTGGAAGACTGTCAGGAAAGAAGAAGAAAAATAACTAAAAGGACTAGTAAAATATTTAATCACGAAACTTAATTATTAAAATTATATAATTCATGATTGGAATTATATAACATTTAATATTAAACATTAATATTACAAAAATATTAAATTAAAAATTTAATATTACAAAAATAATACGTAAACATTTAATATTACAAAAAAACAGAAAACAGCTCAATTGTTTTAATTTAAGCTTTGAATACAATATTCAAGGGATGATAGACATAAAGATCATTCCTTTTCCCACACGCCAATGAAAAACGTTAAAATGGTTAAAGCGTCACTAATGAAAATAAAGGTTAGGTTATTTAATTACGGCAAAGCCTCGAGGGCTATCTGCCTAAGAGGAGGGGTGCCTTCGAGGAGGACTATCTAAGGGAAACTGGCTCGTATACACGTTACACACGAGGAAAACCACGAAAACACTCATGCAGCCAGCCCGTTCGCGGGATTCGAACCTCGGACCGAACTACCAGTGCTCAGCGACTTTACCGCTCGGCCGCCGGTGGGCCCTGAAAATAAAGAGAATGCTATATAAACAGTAAGAGAATATGTAGAAAATTTTAACGGTTAACCTGTAGATATGAAAACAAAAACAGAAGAGTCTAACATTTTCTGAGCACGACTTCCTCTCATCATAATTCTAGCTGTCAAGCGGAATATGACAGGGGAACAAATTTTCACCGAATCCGAAGGCTAGCTGGGAAAAAAAAAAAAAAAAAAAAAAAAAAAAAAAAAAAAAAATTACGATTTTTGTCCCTAGCTTTGGTTGCATCATTTAAAAAAGTCTGCAGATACTCTATTCTGCGGGAAGACACTAGGGCTGGAACAAAAAAAATTATGCGTTGGGTTATAAATTCATTGTACTTTCTGGAGAATAAGCCCTTGACATATGGGTGGGGACTTTTCTTTCCCTAAAGGTCTCGACCTCCATCCGAGGGTTTGTTTCCCAAGGAAAGAGAAGCATGCATTCAGAAGTTAGAATCGATTTTTAATATAATTTTATTATTAAAAATAAAATTTTGGTAATCAAAAGTTACATTAAAGAAGAGCCGAAGCCTTCCGATTTGGGGCTCCGGTGCGCTCCGGCTAGAATTATGATTTTTTCCCAAAACTAAAAAGCGCCGGAGCTTAAGCTCTGAAAGGATCTCCTAATAAATGGCTCGCTGACAAACTAACTAATCACCATTGCACTATAAGAACACCTGGGGTAAAAATTTTAACTCCTTATAGTTAAACTCTATGTCTAATATTTGAATTGTGCTGGAAATGTTCAAATGGTGCTTTTGTGTTTGATAACATAGAAATGAAAAGTTTATGAAACTCTAAAATGCTCTGATATTTTGACTTCCAGTTTTAAATCTCAAAGCATTGTTTTGAGTTTCTCAATTCACAATCCCATAAAGATTTAATACCAAGTATCGACCCTTTCGGTTCTGTGACCCATGAAGGTGTTCCATCGTCCACGCGGATAACGCATTTTTGACGCCCACGGGTAAACTTCTTCGTAGGAGTGGCTCCAGTCATTCCATTGACTTCTTTATTTCTCCGAAACTAGTTTAGATATACAGGCATTGAAAGAGATGGCAATCTGGTCATTGTTCACCTTCGTCAGATCTGGTTCTGCTTTAAAGAGGGCGATGGTGAACAGATCGAACGCAATTTTTAACAATTGAGCTGTTATCGTTGGAGCTGTTTTCAATGAAAGTATGCTAAACCATCCAACACAATACACTGATTCTGCACTCCCCCAAGTGAAATCTTAACAAAATGATTGTGTCCTCCTTTAAAAGAGACAGTTAAGCATTCGTAATAACAATATGATAAGCAAGAGGAAGACAAATTTGTTGTAAGAATTTTGGTCAAAAAACAAATTGTACTTTTCAACTGAGTAAAAGAATGTCTTTCATAGTATATACATTAGGATTCATAAGTACATATTTGTCTTAATCATGAGTTTAACTATAACATTATTTAACCTCAATCATATTTAGTTGAAAAGTGGGGAGGTGAAAAATGGCATTTAGGTAGCGAGTACGATAACCTGTCATCCAAAATTTCTTTTAAGTCAACTTTTTCTCGTTATACAGAAGTGAATAAATTATTTTTATTACTGAATATGAGTAATCGCAATCTTTTGCAGCAAAAAATAACGAGCTGAGAAAACTCATTCTACGCGATAAATATTCTCAGGATCTACGCTCATTGGTGGGTTATATTATAAGGTATTTTTTCTACCTTCTTAGCATGCCTTCGTGGTGTAGTGGTCAGCACACCACGGCACGTATTCGAGAGGTCCGTGGTTCGAGCCCGACGTTACTCAAATTAATAATTTATGAAAAGCGCGCAAATTAGATCAGTAAACAATGTCATTTATGAAATGAAGCTGAATTATAACTAACTTCAAATTCTCAATTTGCTATAAACGGAAGAATCTTTCCAAAAATGGTATTTAAAGTTAGATTAAAAAATACCTAAAATTAAATTAAATGTGAGCAAAAAGAATCTAAAAATATCTCTATTCCTGTTCGTGATAGAATACTACAAAATTTAAAAAAAAAAAAAAAAAAAAAAAGAGGGGGAAGAAAAAATAAAAATGACCTCACATCTGCGATTTAGTGACATTTTACTTTATTTTATTTTAGTATTAAACTTATATATATATATATATATATATATATATATGTTACCGCTAAAAAGGTGCGAAAGTGGTTAAGGTGTACTTTACCTAGCTAATCTGTAGATTAACTGATTTCCTCTTAAGCGGGAAGGCCGTATATATACGGCCTTGCATATATATATATATACGGCCTTGCCTTAGAATATTTTTTGTTATATCTGTAAGAATTTATATATATGTGCATATTAAAATATGTCAAAGAAATTAAGGCAATATGTCAAAAGTACAGAAATCAAGGTATGATACCAGGAGAGTTTTTACATTAAAATCCAAAAAATAATTTGTTCTCATAAGTAGTTTTGGGAAATTTTTGCTTTCTTAGCGAAAACCCTGGTACGTAATCTAGAGTTTTTTGCATTTTGCTTAGGTAACGTGCATATTAACGATTTCCGTATCGTTAAAGTTCAAAAGTTTGTTTTCCTCATTTCCTTTCCCTCTCTTTCCACTTTTCATATTACCTACTAGGCACTCGCTAATCTGCACATTGCCTACAAGGCGCTCTTTAAACAGAAAATAAGATTTTTGCTAGAACAACAGCAACGTTACTGTACGTTTAAATTAACATAATGCTGTTTATTTATTTCTCGATATCTAAAAAATCAATTTAATACAATCAAACAATCAACAAATTAGTTGACGGAATTAATCAACAATCAGTTAAAAACTATATTACAAACAATAAAATGGTTTACAATATTACTGCAATTACGGAAATGAATTTTCAAAACATATGATAAAATTATGCTAACTTATTGGTGCAATCTGAAGAGTGTTGACACTTTGAATTACATGCAACTGGATTTTGCGACAAGCACTCTTATTTTGTGGTACTTTTAGATTTGCAGCAACATTTTCTGAACCCCTGCCTGATCAACAATTTAAATGTGTAAAGGGTGGCTGTTTTAAACCTACAGATACTTTGCTGTTATTTCTACAAGAATCTTATTTTCACTATAACGAGTGCCTAGTTGATAAAGTACAGATTATCTAGGTAGTTTGAGAAATGAAACAATTTTCCTCATTTTAACGTATCAGTCTAGCTAATCTGCAGAATAACTGATTTCCGCACTTGAGCGGTAACATGTATATGAATGAATGCACGAAAATGCAATAAATATTTCCTATTCAATAGGTTTGGACCGTGATAAAGATTATGAAATACTCATACCAACGATTGAAAGAGTCGCTTGGGTCTGGGCTCTGTTTTTTGTGTTAGTCATACCTGAATTCTTTTCGTTGTTTCGAAGCTTTAGGATATGTGTCTTCAAGTCATACAAAAGGCCAATGTTCTTGTCATTCCTAGCAGTAAGTTAATGATCTTTGCTTATATTTCCGAAAATCTTATTTCCCTTCCTGAAATTCTTGTACCATATTTTTAATCTTTTATTTACTTCATATTTTTTCTTTTCCTTGGTAGGTATTTATTGGAGAGACACTGTATACAGTTGGATTGTGTCTATTAGTTTTTATTGTATTACCCGACCTCGATGTTATTAAAGCGGCTATGCTAACGAACTGTGTGTGCTTTGTGCCAGCCGTTTTAAGTCTCTTGTCACGTCACTCAGACGAAACACGTAGACCACTTAAAGTGATATTCGATATATTAGCCATAATATTTCAAGGCAGTGCCTTAGCGGTGTGGCCGATTGCGGAGACTGGGCCTAGAGCATGGTTCATTCCTATAGCTGTAGTTTTAGTATCCTTCCGGTGGTGGGAAAACTACCTGGATAAGAAATCTCCGATTGGCTTCATACGCAGATTAAGTTCTGTCAAAGAAGATCTTAGAAAAAGTCGCTATTTTACATACGTATTTCTTTCTGTGTGGAAGATGCTACTCATTTTCTGTTCTATGTTCGGATTTCTACATTTGACCATGGAGAATGCCACTCTAATCTTCAAAGGATTCTCAGTCAGTTTGCGAAGCCATCCTATTGCAGTGCAACAAATCAGAAGAACTGTGCTACAAGCTGATCTACCAGATATTCCTACTGCCAGTCCTCTGGATGAACAAGTTTCTATATTATCTATAGGCATGGCGCCTATTCACGTGGCCATGATACAGATAAGCGCAGCATTGGTATGCTACGTTTTTGCTAAATTTTCGTGCAAAATTTGTATCCAGGGATTCAGTTTCGCTTTTCCTATCAGTCTCACAATTCCCGTTTCTATATCTATGTTGATTGCTGCTTGTGGAATAAGGACAGAGGATGAGTGCTTCTTTGAAGCATTTATACCGAAGTATCTGTTTTGGACTTGTCCACAAGGGAACTTCTTACAAGAATTTATCTCGGACAAATATGCTTGGATTTGGCTATTGTGGCTCTTGTCGCAGACATGGATCGCAGTTCATATTTGGACGCCCAAATGTGAGCGTCTAGCCAGCACAGAAAAGTAAGTTATTCCTTATGCTAATAACTGCTAAAACTTATTAAGTTGCGTTACTTATTAAAATAAACGTATCTTTATTAAATGGGCCAGTTCGTTGATTTCATACACCTGAAACTTATGAATAATTTTAGTACACAGAATAAACTATGCAAAGTCTTTCCTTTGAAGATATTGGTGTTATACAGAAAAAGCATGCTTACAAGTACATTTTTGAAATGCTATTAGTAACATATTGAAATCTTGCAAAACTAGATTCCATTTTAAAATTCTACAGAAATTAATCACTGAAAGTATTTGATTTAAAATACTGCTGTATTTCTACTCGCGTTACTTTTAATAGACAATAAGGAATGTTTTTATTACAATGTAGCCATTCCAATAATAAATATATTTATTTTTATTATTTTTACGTTATAATTAAGTATGTTTCTTATTTTTATATTTCTTAAATCGCATGCAAGCGAGGATTTTATGTCAATACGATGTTGTATGTAATTAATTCACAATTCGGGCAAGGCTCACTGTTGACTCATATGACTAAGCAAACGTTTTGCCTAGATTTCTGACTAAAAAACTTTATGCCATACCTCCGAACTTTCATCGAATTTTTCTGTTCAGAAATTTTTTAAACACTTTCCTACTAGAAATAGAAGCAAATCTGTCATATCATTAAGATTTTACTTTCATTTTGAAACAGATTTAAATCTGTTTATAATATTATTATTATTATGCTTTTATTTTCATTTCTGTGTCCCAAATATTATTCAGTAAATTATAAAAAGTTTTAACTCTTGTTAATCTATTAAGATTTTAAATGTTTAATTATCTGTGTCTAATCATATTTCATTTCAATCAGATTCTTCTTACCTATCTCTAATGCATATGCTAGAGCTGGTGTAATTTTGATATTGACATAAAAATTTAACAAAAAAATTAATTTAATATATTTGTTAAACAATCATAATTTTGATTACGGTAAAATACAACAGAAAGGAACAACCCCTGCCTTTTTAGCCAAATTAGAAGTTAGTCAAACTATAATAATTCTCAAGAATTACCTGTGATGAACTTCATTAACTCAAACAAAGGACAAAACTAGGCTTATTATTGATTTTTTAAAATACTTAAAACTAAAAAGATATCTGTCATTCTAAAAGTAAACATACCAGTGATTCTGTTTTCGGAAGTTTCATAATTTCCATTTTTGATCCCATAATACATGGGCTCAAAAATGCAGGATAATCAAAAATGATACATCAATTTTAAAAGCTAAAGTTTGCAAATAAAAATTAATATTGCTTGGAAATAAAACAATCTTTCGAATTTGAGTCATAATATTCGAAATGGTTGATGTTTGGTCCTGCTCTTGCATGATACACATCTTTGCTGTCCGTAAACGCTACAAAATATTCCCCTGGCGGTCACCAAAGCAGCTGTAATGCTCTTCTGGAGCTCTAATGTTGCTGGTAATGGGAAACATGAAAACCATCTTCAACAAAAGAAAAAAAAAATCACTGGGCTGTGAATTTGATATGATATATCTCCCACGGTGTTTCTGCTCCGGGAATCGAGCAGAATCGAAATGCAGAGAATTCTGCGAAGCTACTGTGAAAATTTTGAAAATATAACGCTGATTTTCGTTGTTTGACTTCTGAACTTAAAGAGGTTATCACATATGGCTACAGTGACGGGACTACTAGACAGGATACTAGACGGGACTTTTCTGAGAAACGAGATTCTGGTAGCACTGGTTTAAATGGGAGGATTTTTAGAAAAAGGAGCCCCGCTGGAAGTGAAGTCCCGCCAAACTACGGAAACAATGTTGCGGCTACGCGGGATTTTTTTCGAACCTCACCGAAATTGTCTCGGGTTCCGGGTAAAGACAACCAATCAGACGAAAGTTCTGCTTTTGAAGGATCACGTCATCCCAATCTGAGCGATAATCGATCAGTGTTTGGCGTTCAAGTCTTTGTAGTAAGTGAAAATGGTAACCTAGCTACGTGGGTTTTCCTGGAATGCGGGTTCTTAGAATTGTCCCTTTCGACGTCAAGTCCCGCGTAGTAGAAACATAATGTGATTGGGTTTGTGACGGTGTTTTTGAAGGAAAAAAAGTTCCCATACACATTTGTCTGTGCAAATGGTACAGAAGACATTTGATTTTAACGAATAGGGTTTCTATTCAGCAAGTACTTGAAAACTTTACGTGCTCTGTATCGTGACATTGTAATCGCTTACAGTGTCGCACATATGAAATGTAAGATCGCCATTGACTCTTAGATGGAGGCAAAAGTGTAGTCTTGTAAAGCTTCTTTTCTTCTTCATATCTTGCAACGGCTTCAAACGTTATGGTTTCAGTTGCAATCGCCATCCCAAAATCCTGATTAACTGCTTAAAGAGCAAGTTTGCGTCAAGCGCGTTTGCTAATCTCCGTTGTTTCGTTTGAAACGCTTTGCAGTCCAAAGCTCTAGTCTTTACATAAAAGCCCAGTGTTCTTGAATTTTTGATACAGCCTCAGAATGCTGCGGTAGCTTGACAGACCTGCATGGTATTGCCTTCTAAACACATGTTGCATCATAACTACAAATTTTCCATATTGAAATCGAATTGAAACCTGCTGCGCTGTTTCACAACAAAATTTGCACCCATGAATTTAAGAATTTAAGACTTTTTTTCGGACTTGAATATTAAGAACACTCGGAAATTAAAGGATTTCAAAAACCGGTGAATGTAATAACCATGTACTTTGGTAATGCAATAATCTTGTGACTGCACAAGAATAGCTCAAAACGTCAATTGTCAGTAAATTTTCTGTACACCTTCCAGACAAAATCCTACCTTAAAGTATCTAGAAAATGCTTGTTTCATGTGATTTTCTCTGGCCCATTATTCAAATTAAAACCTTGAAACTCTGCTTGTCGCCTAGTTTCAGATTTTTCCTTGGTGCCCATTTCTCATAAAAATCCTTTTGTAGAATATCTCCCTCCCTTTAACTGTAATGTCTTTTGTTCTAATTAATTTGTATAATCTAATCTGTCCCCCGTCATCTTGCTATGTTACACTTATACTTTAAAGTAGCAAAAATTGAAAACAGAATTTATATTTAAATAAAATCCAACTATTTAATATAAAACAAAATTGAAAACGTTTAAAACTGCGTATATATAGGAGCATTTTGCCCCCACCCTTCAATTTATTAGAGATAACTCATTCTATGGGAAATAAAAATTAATTAGAAGAATTTGAGATAATCAGAGCCATGGTCTATTCCAAAAAAGCTCTAAATCGTTGAAAAGTAATAAGTGAATCTGAAAAAATAAATAAATAAATAAATAAATTCTAATCGATTCTTTATAGACTGTTCGTCAATCCCATGTATTGTGGAGCCCTGATAGACCAATCTTTGGCATTAAATCGGAGAAGAGACGATGAAGGAGAAATAAAAAGTGAGGTAAGAATAAACTTATTCCTAATATTTACGTAAGAAACTCTTAACTTTTAACATTTTTGTTCATCAAAATATTAATTTTTTTGTTTTCGCTAACTGCGACAGATTTTTTTAAGTAACAAATTCCTGCAATATTTTGTTTAGTTGTTATTTAATTATAACCAAGGCAATATTTAATTCGGTAACTTATAAAGAGAATGTAGTAGATTAAAAGGGTCTAAAGGCCTGTAGGGTTCTATCCTTTTATTAACAGCTAAATGTATACTAAATGTCTATGAGAAGAAGAGCTCTCGCCACAGTGTCTGGCGGGTGGCCGGTCGCTATAGCAACAAGGCTAATGCATTTCAAATAGGGGTGACCCAAGGGTTGCTTTATTGTTATTTTGTTTTTGTCGACTGTTGGCTGGGGGGAAAAGAGTTATCATTCGTCTTCAAGACACCCCTACGGAAAATGGGTCAAGGCTCGTTTCTACGGCAACAGACAGCTGCAGCCTAACTGGCGAGAGCTTTTCTTATGATAGACAGACTGTAGGAACCTCGTGAACAGATAAGCGAATAATTGCTATAGTTCAGGAAAAGAGTCATAAACTCAAGATGGGTTAATTACCGTTATTTTTCAAAATAAGAATTTAACAGTTGGCTCCTTTCTCAGAGCGTACAGCAAAGCCTCCACTTGGGCTTGAACTCAAGGTAATGAGAAATAGAACTTAACTAATAAAAGATATAGCTGAAGCTATCAAAAGTCTAAGTAATTGGTTCCTAAATATCGAATAAGCTAGCAAGCTATCAAGGGCCTGAAATACGGTCGAGCGTAGTACAGCTTAAAGAGAGACGTATCCAAAAGGCAAACGCGCGCTAGGCAGAAACTTTGAGTCTCTCTCCCGAAGTCAGTGGAACTTCGACTTAAATGCCACTCTTACTCATTTGCATTAACCGCGATTCTAAAAACATTCTGGTAGGAAATTGTAAGCTGAAATTAGGAAGGACAGGAAAGTAGCTTTAACTAAAATTAACTCTTAGAAACTTAAGATAAACTTTACATGCTTTTCTCATTTATTAAGTCGAATATACGATTTAAACAGAACATCCAGCTGATCAGAGAAATATCTTTAAATATCAATATCCAAAAAAGATGTGTAGGCTTCCTTATTTAATTTAATTTCTTGTACCCTACAAAGTGTGGTCAGGTGATTTCTCACCTCATCTCTGAAAAAACAATAGATTTAGAAGAAAGTTTGAGCAACCTTTTAATTCAAATTTTATTTTGAACAAATATCTATTCTTGTGGAATTTCAGCTACCATAAACGGTGAATTTAAAATTTAAAGTAAAAAGCACTGGTTAACAAGCATCGTCTCAATTATAATTAAATATGCGGGTGGCTTGGCTACCCATAATGTCGGATATTGGAAGTCGTAGAGCTGGGTAATGTATCAGGTTGTCCGGAAAATAATGCAGATTTTGGCAATTGTTTATCCTTTCTGTACATTTTTAGCAGCAAAATATTTTTAATTACATTGGTTTATATATAATTTTGAAGCTCTATTTTCGCTCTATATTTCTATATAATCATTTTGTTCCAAAATTATTTTCAAAAATTATTTACTAGGTGTTTTTGTTTAGATGTCAAAACGGAGTTTTCTGAAATTTACTTTTATGAGTACAAGCTAGGTCACAGCGCAGCACAAACGGCTCGAAATGTCAACGAAGTATGGGGTGAGAAAAGTGTTAATGAATCTACAGTTCAACGGTGATACCAAAAGTTTCGCCGTGGAGAATTTGATCTGGAAAATCAAGAGCATCGTGGACGCTTTTCAGCTGTTGATGACGATGATTTGAAGACTTTAGTTGAAACAAACCCAAGTATAACTGTTCGTAAGCAAAACAGCGATTTCTGGTCACTTGAATCGTATAGAAAAGTCAAAGAAGCTCGATAAGTGGGTACCTCACGAATTGAGCAAAATAAAAAAAATCGCTCGCCGTTTTGAAGTATCGTCTGCTCTTCTTCTCCGCAACCAAAAAAAAAAAAAAAAGACCTTTTTCTTGATCGAATTGTTACGTGCGATGAAAAGTGGATTCTCTCCAACAACTGGCGACACTCAGCTCAGTAGTTGGAGCGCGGTCAGACATCACAACACTTTCCAAAGCCAAATTTGCACCAAAAGAAAATTATGGTGACTGTTTGGTGGCCTGAGGCCGGTCTCATCCACTACAGCTTCCTAAATCTGGTCGAAATGATTACGGCAGATAAGTACTGTTACTGTCAGCAAATCAACGAAATGTTCCAAAAATTGCAACGTATGTGCTCGGTATTGGTCAACAGAAAGCGGCCTGTTCTTCTCCAAGACGATGCTTAGCCCATGGAAGTAAGAAAGGACCTACTTCTTTCCTACCTCCATGGCTCGGCCGTACGTCGTGCAAATGACCCTCCAGAAATTGGACGAATTGAGATACGAGACTCTCTATACCCCATATACCCCATATTCGCCTGACCTCTCGACGACCGATTACCACTTTTTCAAACATCTGAATAACATTCTGTAGAAGAAATGCTTCAGAATCTAATATGAGGTCAAAAACGTCTTTGACAACTTTATCGCGTCCAGAACTACAGAATTTTATTCTATTGGCATAAATAAACTTATATCTCTTTGGCAAAAATGCATTGATTCGGCTGATGCTTATTTTGATTAATAAAATTGTTTTTGAGTTGAGTTATGATACTTTAAAGATATATGTTAAAAACCTGCATTATTTTCCAAACAACCTAATATTAATACTGCGCTCATCGCGGCTGCTACAGCTCTCTGTCTAACTTTCAAGAATTCTGTTTTTTTTAACACAAGTATCTCATTTTCATCCTGATAAGAGCTAACGAAAATTAAAATTGATGGTTCATATCAAATAAAAAGATAATGATCAAATTAACGTATATAAATAGTCTACAAATGTAATTTTTAGAGGCAAAATAACAGACATTAACTAGGTAGTAGAGAGATTAAAAAAAGTAACTTCGCAATTTGTTTTCGTGAAAGATATTCTTTACTTTATTAAGGTAATTGAAAGGAATACCTTAAAATACACTAACCTGTTACGAAAAATACTTCATGCAAAACGAAAGCAATTTCCTATTTCAATATTTATTTTATACATTTACATTCAATCAAAACAATATAGCAAGGATAGTATTCAGTAGAGATTTCAGAAATAATTTTTTGTTGTTTGTTACCGTTATTACTAAGTGCTGTCATGTCTGACTGGTCATCTTGTGTGTATTTGACTGGCGTGAAACACGCCGAAAGTTTTCGAGTTCCCCGATACATCAGAAATGCACATTATGAAACTTTTATTGCAGTGTACATGTTGAAGCGACTAATTGTCATCCGTTGAATAGAACTGCATAAAATGCTATGCTGGATCATAATGTGAGTGCAAGACCATCATGACGAGTCATAAAATTAAATTTACCAGTTGTAATGGCACAGATTAATCTAGGATCATAAAGATGATATCGTTCAACAAAAACTCATATGTACTTCAAATGTGCACTTCATGCGCTTTAAAAGAATGGGTAATGGGCATATTTCTTAGAAAAGGCTATTACTACATATATTAAGTAATGAAGGGAAATGAAATATGAAAACACTAATTTACAGCTATACAAAATGCGTTGCACACATCTGAATAATTTTGAAATTTTCAAAACCAAATTTTAAATAGGACTACCAATTAATGGATCAATGTTAACGCTCCCATATATACATCAAATAATCAGAATTGATTGTGCACATATTTGGCGGTAAATATTGTTTTTATAAATATTTTAAGTAGATGCTAAGATGCTTTGATGGAGAAGAAATCTGTATTTCTTAACAAAATAGCCAGAGGGCCTGTGTTATGCTTGCAAATATTCTCTGAAGTTGCCTATTTTGATTTTTGTGCAGAAGATAATCAATAGAGTTTTCAAATTTGTTTACTTCGATATGATATGCTATTCTTATTTGTGCAATTATGCATGAAACCAAATCTTTTCTTAGCTGAAAGGGTTAAGAGGAATAATATATTACAGAAGCTCGTAAACAGAGCAGTAATATTTTCTTATCCCTTTTTCTAGCTAAGCAGGAAATGGAGCTATTTTTAGGGATAGATTATAGACATTATCGTTCTATTACCATTTATGTTGTACTAACATAAGTAAGAAAGGTACATAGAACACGCGCATAAATATAGAAATTAAGGAAAGGAAACAAAAATCTCAAAAAGACAACAGGTTATAGCTCTTTTTAGAGAGGAACTTAACGGATAATAATAAACTTAGCAGAATAATTATTAATAAATTTAAAGGATTGTCATCATGTCTTACCCAGAATGATGTTTGTGCATGTTAAATCTTCAGAAATTGTTACTTTTTATTACCTTTAAAAATTTGTAATCTTTAGTTTAGTATTTCAAAGGTTTAACTCGTATAAATATGCAATGACCATTTATTTCATTTCTTCAAATAGAAATTTTAGTCATGAGAAGATAAGTCATGGAATATGTTGTGTAACGTGAGTAATATAAAATTAATTGCTATGCTTTCGCAATACAAAGTTAATGATCGTAGCACTGTCTTAAATTGCTTATCCGTGCTTATACATCTAATTATGTCATCATCTTGACAGGAACTAGATCTGGAGAATAAAGATGACAATGATATTTCACAGTACTATGAGACTATCTCTATTCGTAGTGAAGAGTCCAGCAGTCCTTCCGGAAAAAGTGTACCTGTTAAGGGTTCTGACCACATCACTAGGATCTACGCATGCGCCACTATGTGGCACGAGACGGCAGAAGAAATGTTACAAATGTTAAAATCAGTGCTCAGGTAACGTAATTTTATATTTATATATCTAAAAAAAGCATAATATTTATTGCAAAAGACAGTATCTTTTAAATCTGAGTAAGTCTTCAATGGAATGTCATTTTGCGCCTTTTCATTACCCTCATAAAATTCTTTCAAAGGAGTGGTTAATTATAAATTAAAATTAAGAAAGCAAGTAAAATATTGGTTCCAAAAAAGTGAGCATGCACAAATATAACATTAACCTGCACAAAGATAAGATTCCAGTTATATTGAAAGTTTTGGTTTTTATTGTATTTCTTGCAGAATGTTTCAAAAATATTGCAAGAAAAAATAGCTCTTGAACGGCAGGTCACAGACTAATGACTCCAGTTTAAGAAATAAATTAAGTAATATAAACTTTCATTTTATGATAATTTTGTAAAGTTTCCAGAGTCGTTTAATTCATCAGTGAGATAACATTCATGAAAATTTTTGTTCATTGGTATAAAATATGTATTCAGGAATAGAATGATTAAAACTAATCTATACTACATTTTTATGTATTAAACTTATAAACTGAAGAATAATATTACATTATTTTCAAAAGTAAAGGATAGTAATATTTAACTGGAAATTGAACAGAAGATTATTGCTTTATATTGTGGAAATCGGTCTCTGAAAGTTGGTGTATTTGGTGTATTTAATTATGGCAAAGCTCACTAGGGCTATCTGCCTAAGGGGAAGGATGCCTTCGTGGAGGACTTTCTAAGGGAAACTGGCTCGTATACACGTTACACATGGGGAAAACCACGAAAACACCCATGCAGCCAGCCCGTTCGCGGGATTCGAACCTCGGACCGAACTACCAGTGTTCAGCGACTTTACCGCTCGGCCGCTGGTGGGCCTCTGAAAGTTGAAAAATATTAACAGAAATGATAGACATTAGCATTTTGAATTTTTCTGTATTTCATTTGCATTAAATTTCCCTCATTCAAACCGCAAAGAGAATATTTCTTATTTTAACCGTGCAATGCAACATCTGCAATTTCAGAATAAATTTTGTATTTGACTGCAACGCAATTCTGATAAATGTTAGATTTCAAAAACGTTACAAAAACGTTTACAAAAAGTTAAAATACGTATTTTCTCTGCATACTGAAACTCCAGAGCTCTCTTTGTTAAAGGCAAACGTAGTAATAAAATAAATTATAAATTATTAAAAGTTCTAAATATCTGAAAGAACGGGTTCTTCGTTTTACTAGCCGAAAAGAACAATTTTTTATGTATATTTATTGTTAGTTTTTTATTTCCTTCATGAATATGAATCGTAATAGCATAAAGTAAAACAACGAGTTCCGCGGCCTTCTTCTTATGTTAATGCATTTATCTTTAACAACTTCTTTCGTTTTGCTAAAGGAGGAAGTCGAATCTTCGGATGTAATTTAGAAGACCGTTATGAAAGTAATGCGTTACTTCTATTTTTCCCGATTTCAGGTTAATCATGTCAAGGATGATATCTATGTAGGATTATTGATTCGTAAAAATCTAAAAAACACTTAAGCTGAGAAGTTTTGTACTCTGATACTTACACTGTAAGGCAGCGGTGCCCAACCTTGTGCTCGCGAGCACAAGTGTGCTTGCCGATCGTTTTGTATGTGCTCGCCAGCCCGATTAGGTACTATGAACCAAAAATATTTTAAAAATAACCATTCAATTATATTTCTTAATTGTTAAAATATGGTAAGCATTTATAAGTCATAAGAGATATCTTGCAAGATGTCATAAAATAATTGATTGCTGACTGATGAACTTTATAGCGAACATGGAATTTTATTGCTTCATTCCGATGTCAGATGGCTCAGCAGGGGAAAAGTACTTCAACGATTTGTAGAACTTCTTTTGCCAATAAAAAGCAGTTTTTGGAATCCCGGAAAAGAAAGTTATAAAGAATTGGACGATAATAATTGGTTATCCGATCTGTATTTTCTCACGGATATAACAGCTAAACTGGACAAACCGAACGATGATCTCCAGGAAAAAAGCAAAAACCCTTTTTCAATTGACTGAGACTGTAACTGCTTTTCAGATAAAGTTAAATTTGTGGATAAATCAGATGAAAAAAAAATTTCATCCATTTTAGAAATTTATAAGGCAATTATAACCACTAGGCAATTGAACAGAAATACTCGGTAAACCTAAAGGCCCTGAAAATAATTTTGAACTCCGCTTCTCTGATTTCCATAACGTTCAACCAATATTATTATTCATCTCAAACCCATTTGCCGAAATTAATATTTCAAATGTATCACATAAGATTGGAAATATGTTTAACAAAAATGTTGATGTTTTGGAAATGTGCTCGTGATAGGCCAAAATGTGCTCGCGATAGGCCAAAGGTTGGGCACCACTGCTGTAAGGTATTTTCTCCCTTTTTGGGACATGACTTTGAGGTACAGCAGTAAGCACAAATGGATAGCAATCGGGAGATGCGAAATTCAAATCCCGGGCAGGCAATTGCACATTTTTCAATTGCACATTTTCTGCTTCGCCAAACCTCTCTCTCTATTAAAGATTCTGCAGTGGCGCCGAATTAAAATTCTTTACCACCAGGATTTGGCTATACGATCCATGCTTCCTTACCCACTCTTTTAAGGCGATAATAATCTAAGGGTTTTTTTAACACCTTCTTATCTCATATCTTGCTGCTGAACCTGGAAGCACGTTCGGCTGACAATCTGGAAGTCAGAAGCTCGAATCCTGACAAGGGCATCGTTGAATTTTCATATTTCCCGGCTCTAAAATATCAAAATACTCTACTATGTACCCGAGCTAAAAAATGTTGCGGATGATAATGCCATCAGGCTTTGGCGAGTGAGCTTCCGCCACTCCAGTCGCCCTTTAGGTCTAGGGAGGATATAACGTATTTTCTCCCTCCTTACAGCGTGTTTTTGTGGTGTAACTGGAATCTCGCCCCGATAACAATCAGGTGGTTCAGAGTTCGAATCCACGCAAAAGCACTGCTCATTTCTCCCTTTTCCTACTTCGATATATACGTAATCGCTTTACAATATTCAAAAATGCAGCAGTAAGAAATGTGAAAAAATGAGCATTTTAACAAATAAAATTAATTTTATCCAGCTTATATACAAGAAATCAAAATTTACATGAAAGATCTTGCATAAAATTAACCCTTTGTTGCATACAAATAATCTAGAGAAGTTAAATGAAAATGTGTGTATTTTTTCTACTTAAAATAACCTTAGTAATAATAAAAAAAATTAATTTTATTCAAATTTCGTTTTAAATAATTGCTACAGTTTGTTCACTACAGTGGACAGCATGCATATACGTACATGCATACAAATCTCTTTCCAACGAATTTACGGTCATTGCATTTGAAATCATTTCCTGCCTTGTTGCAGTGATCATTACCATCTTCTAAATGGTAAATCTACAACTGACATGTACATACAGTTCCCCCAAAATACCTTCATTTCGTCGATTGCGATTGAATTCATTTTGCTACGATTTTGTAATCTGTACCTATTGGATTCAAATGTCAAATGTTCTAGAAATTCCTTGCCAAGCATAAACATTTCCAGTAGTGTTTTGGCTTGATAAGCAGTACATTCGGGTTTCAATTCACCCTTTTCGGTAGATTTTACTACCCACTCCACAATTTTCTCAAACTGATATTTATAATAAAATGTCTAAAATTACTAATTATGAATAAAAAAATGGCAGTATAAGAAAATGTAAGCAATATTATATAATGTTTACTATGAGAAATTGTACTAACTTGGAAACAGAAGTAGCAGCCATTTTTCCAAATAGCAATGCTTTACTTAGTGATGCTATACAGCCATCTACGATCGACAGTTGAAAGTACTAATAATGCAGAATGAATAAACACAGGAATGGAATCTGTTAAGGCATTTATATAAAAATAAACAAATTTAAACTTTTGTCTACTAAAGTGGACATGATGCAACAAAGGGTTAAGTCTCAAAATTTCTTTTGCATACTTGCTGGAATAAAATTATTGTGCTTAATGATTTTTATTAAAATTTCTTCTTTAGTATTACTAAATTATTTTTCTGAATCCGCTCCATAAAGGGAAATGCGTAAGAATTTTTTAACTGTAATTGCAACTAAATTATAAACGAAATTTCAATAATATAAATAATACAGATAACTGACGTGAATATTTCGAATGGATTCGCAATCTAATAAACAGCTGTCTCTTGAATTTTCTGTGACTTGAGACTCTCGAGCCCAATGACATCGGCATTTTTTTTTTTTTTTTCCAATGGCGAGTTCTAGCCGTTTATAGGCATTGGCCACTACTAAGGTAAAAAAAAAAAAAAAAAAAAAAGCGGCTGTCTCTATTATGGAGGCACTTAATAGGTGGCGCACCGCTGCCTCATGTGAAAAGGAACGGACTAATTACAACCATGCCTTCTCCAGGATTCGGACCCGAACGCTTCGGTACGGCAAAAAAATATAGCCTTCTGAATTTATAGGCCTTATATTACGCCTTAGATTGCCAATATTTTGACCCGATTCATTACATCGTCTTTAGAGCAGTTATCATCTCTCGTGTATATAAAAATAAACAGTCATCAAGAAATGTCAGTAAGACAGAATAATGTTTTGAGAAAAAAATCCTATTGTAGACTGCTGAAGGGTGCGTTTTCGCAGAAAAATGGGCTTAAGATGACATATACAACAGAAGTGAAAACTTTAACAGTCTGTTGGTCAAAGAACAAGGCAAACTACCTCATACTTCTCATGCAAATGCCGCATTTCTAATCCTATGAGTAAAACTTTGCATAAAAGATAATATGATTATGATAATACCAAACGGTTTCAAGCATTGGAGAATATCCTACTAAATATCCTTTAGCCCTTTCTCCCCCCCCCAAAAAAAATTCCGTCTACAGTATAGTTTATTGCTTGCACAGTAATCAACCCATTAACGAAAAATTGATTTCAGCTTGATGAGTCCTAAAGTAAACATTAACTGCCAGCTTATCTAATTCATGCATAGATCCGGTTCATTACATATCTTGAAGTTAATCCAGACAATGAGAAGATCACAGATGACTTACTGGCAGAGTCTTCCTGTCTTTATTTCTGACGTTCGATCCACATGTGATTTAATCTAGTGACCTAGGAGCCACTCAGCTTCTGATCCACGCGTACCACAATCCGGACAGCAAAATGGAAGCTTGAACACAATGCTAACCCAAATGCTTCTTTCTTACTATGATCTTGTAGATGTGGATTCCAATGCTCATTGATGAATTGTCAGTTCCGTTGCAGGATTGTTTTGCTTAAAAGTATTACTTCGCATTTTTAACCTAAAGATATCTATGCACTTACCTTCCCAAGTTGAAATATCTTTTATTTTATATGGGTTTTTTTCGGGTGCTCTCAAATTGCAAAAATTTTAGTTTATTAATCCATGATTTCAATAAAAAATGTTTTCTCTTCTAAAATCTTACCTTTTTAATCGTAGTTATATAAGTAAACAAAATTCGCTTTAAAAAGTACATAATACGTGATCGTTTAAATTATTGTTGAATTTTAAAAATGTAGATTTCCTATAAATTCAGTTTGCAGGTTTCCAGAGGAATGAACATTGTATTAGGATATTAACTAAAATAACACACCGAGGGAAAAACGTAGAACTGCTAAAAAAAAAATTATTTTATACATTGTCAAGTTTCTAACTTGACAATGTATGCTTTTAGTATAAAGATAGTAAAATAAAGTCTTTTGCTCTGACACTAAAAAGAATAAACTGTATAAGTTGCATATTACGCAAAATCAAAGCAGTATGATGTACAGATAGGTTTTTTTGAATTGGAGAATTTTATTCAAAATTTCTTTTTTTTCGTAACAGCGACTTGGCGCAATAGAGAATAAAATATTCTGCTTTTGTTTTTTTTTAACACTAATGTAAGTTTATGTCGTGTATAGCGGAGGTGTAAAAATGTAGGCTAAGAGAACTTCTCGAAAACTTTTCAGAAAGTCTTGGTATGTCTTTCGCGAATAGCCACTTTCAGTTTGACCTTGATGACTTTCTCAATAACGTTTTCTACCTCGCTGGTTTCATTCCGCATCCGTAGTTATCTGCATATTTGTTCTACATTGCTGGATAAAGGAAGGAGATAACGCATCTACATTTTTGTTTTATGCTTCAATATTTAGATAGTTTTCTCACATAGCATTATGCAACTGCAATAAAAATTTCATTCCAGTGAAATGAAAAAAAAAAAATGTGAGTCTGAGCCCAAGGCCGCTATTTGAGACGACGCTTATTAATAATCCTTTTGTTGTTACAATTTTTAAGTATTTTTGAAAGAACTGGATTAATATACTTAGCGTTATTTCAGTGTTTATCAAGAAAACGTTTCTTTCCGTTTAATTTGTAGAAAAATCAGTAAATTGCTAATATGAGCAGCTATTTGCAGCATAAATACTGGCGAAAGGCAGTAAATTATAATATATTTTAGGACAAATTTTTGTAATTTATTGATATTCTTCGGAATAATATTAATGTAATGCCACTGTAAACATTAAATACATTCTTTTGTGAATTTGGTTTGAATTAAAAGGATAGTGAAATGAACCTTACACTTTAATAACATAAACGCATTATTATTTAAAATATGCATTTTATGAGCTTTCAGTTCAAAATGAACAAGAAAGTAATCAATGGAACCGTTGGTACACTTTCTTAGGAATAGAGCATTACCAAAAAATTTGACCTACATTCATTCTGTAATTGCGTTGTCAGTATCCGCTACTTCAATTATTTGCAGATGAAATTTTTTTTTTTGTATCGTAAAGTTGTAAACTGAGCAATTTATTTATTATAAAGTCTTTGCTAAGCGAAAATAGTTGATAGTTTATCGAAGTATGATACCCTATATAGGTACAGGGCTGTCTTTCCGCGGCATCATTACCATGAGTACAAAAAACGTATGTTCTGTTCCAATTGTTGTTTCATTAGTCGCAAAATAATTGATGGAAAATGTGATTACTCGTAGATTCAAATTTCAGTTTTTAGAGTTGCACATCATTCCATTAATTGCTCGTACATTATTATTGCTCTGTTATCTTTTGAAAACTTCAAAACCTCTTACTGAAATACGTAAGTCACAGATAAAGAGAAATTACATCGTAAGTAATAAAATGCAGCATAAAGTATGTACACACACTGGCCAATGAATTAGAAATCTTTGAGATTTTCATATGAATGCGTGCTAGGAATGAAGTATGCAATTTTTTTTATGACGCAAGTTACACGTGGTTAGAATGCTAGTATAAATAAGATGTAAGAGTACTTTTCACGGTGAATGAAGTAAAAAGGGAAAAACGACATATCTTTCGCCAGTTGAAAAAGGGATTATTATTAGTGCTTGTTTAGCAGAAACCTCGATTTAGAAGACAGCAAATCTCCCTGGGTCCCCAAAATCAGACATATCAAAGATTTTCAAGAGCTGGAATCAGAACCCACGGTTCTTCTCTAGAAGTCGTAACTGCGGTTCAAGCACAGTTTTCCAAGAGAGTGGTCGGCGGCGTCTCCGACGAATTGTACTCCAGAACAGAGGCTTTACTTTTACAGATCGCCAACCAAGGCTTTTCCCAATAGATTGCAGCTCGAACCATGCTCAGAGAATTGCAGAGGATAGGAATGCATAGTCGGGTGCCTGTGAGAAAAACCACTCATTTCTGCCCGACATGCAAGAATTCGTTTGCAGTGTGTCGGGTAAGAAGACACTGGACATCTGAGGATTGGAAACGGGGTTAAACGTAATTAGATGAATCACGCTACACTTTATTTTGCACTTTGAAGACGTGGACGTCGAATTTGGCGAGAACCCCATGAAGCCATGAATCCATCTTGCCTTACTCGCACTGGGCAATGATCTGGTGGGAGTATCATGATATGGGACATGTTATGCTGGCATGGACGTTCTGCTGGCGTGGGCGTCGAATTTGGCAAGAACCCCATGAATCCATCTTGCCTTACTCGCACTGTGCAAGGGTCTGGAGGAAATATCATGATATGGGGTATGTTCTTCTGGCATGGAAGTGGTGTCCTGGTGTTCCTCGAAGGTAAACAAATAGCCATGAGATGCCTAGATATAGTAGCAGATCAAGTTGCATTTTTACCCTGATGGCGACGGATACTTCTTTGACTATAATGGAACTATACATTGTACCAGAAGTGTTCAAAATTGGTTCGCTGAACATCAATCTGACTTCTAACACCTTCCCTGGCCACCCAATCGTAACCCCATAGAAAGTGTGTGGGATATGTTGGAAAGACGCATCCCACAACACTCTCCTTTTCCATCTAATTTACAAGATCTAAAAAGCTGTATAGCGAATGCATGGTACTCTCTAGATGTAAATGCACTCCAGAAGTATGTAGATTCGATGTCCAAACGAATCAGAGCAGTTATCCGTGCAAAAGGTGGTCCAATAAAATTTTGGTTTTGGGTTTCTAATTCATTGGCCAGTTTGTGTACTAGTATTAATTTATTTAAATTGCGATAATACGTAATTCATCCGATTAAACTTTATTGTGTTCATGCAAAATATTAACATTGCGTGAAATATAATAACCATCGATAGGTCAAAAAATTTCAGTAATTCATTTGTAATCTGATCAATTTTTGGAAGAACTTTTTCAGTAGTTCAGTGCTCTTTTCAACGTTTTTAATCTATTTACACTATCTAAAAGATACTATATAATATTTTCTACTATAATAATGTATGTAAGAAGTATCTAAAACGCAAACTAAATCATGTGAAATATACACAGAATGCATGCAACGATTTTCATTAAATTCCTAATATTAGCTTGCTTTTTCATACACTGTATTTCCAGGATGGATGAAGATCAGTGTGCCAGAAGAAATGCCCAGAAATACCTCAGAATCGTCGATCCTGATTATTACGAATTTGAAGGTAAAATATTTCCCCACAATTACATGTAAATGATTTACTTACGTTATTATTGTATTGTTAAGGATTGTTACCTAAAAAATATAAAACCATTGAGTTTCTTTCTCTCTTTAGGTAGTACAAAACTATGCAGTTTAGTAACTTCATTTTTAAATTCTACAAAAAGTGCTGAAAACAGCATTCTTAATTTAATTGAATTTAAAAAAAATAAATGCAAAACTAAAGAATATTTTATTTATAACTTTTAAAAATGATTGATATTTCATATTTTGAAAAGGTTGTGGCTTTATTTTTGTATTACTTAATACAGTGTTAATAAAATAAATGTCATTGAGAATAGACAACCAGAGTTCTAATGTCCATTTCCATGCAGTACACATATTCTTCGACGATGCCTTCGAGTTATGCGATGGAGATGATGAAGAAATGGTGGTCAACAGGTTCGTGAAGCTACTTGTGCAAATTATGGACACCGCAGCCAGGTTAGTTAGGACATTTATTTATTTGTTTGTTCTTTTAATGGTGACTCAGAACTGTGGGTGTTATGACCTCACGTACGGAATAAAGTGATGACGTTTCAAAACTTGATTGGTATTCGATAAAAAGCGAATAGGTATACGTGCAAGGAAGTTAGACTGGCACATCAGGTCACTTTTGAAAGACAGAACTTCTAAGGAATATGAAAAATTCAGATAACACGCGTTTAATTCCACTTTTTTTTATGATGCTTTGATGCTTGATAGGTATACTAGCCTGCAAAAGGAGATAGTGACTGACTTGTGTTGAAACCGTAAAGAAGGTTCTCCAGTAGAGATAAATTTTTGGCGAAAGATTTTTAGTGCAAAGGAGCAATTTGCCCAGAAGTGCTATTAATTTCGTTTTGGCATTTTGCATTGATTCACTACAAGCGTTGTTTCACTTTTAAAATTGTTGCCACCAAATATTATCGCTCTGTAATATATTTACAGAAATTAAATAATGAAGAATCTGCAGAAATGTATGTCAGAAAAAGGTAAAAAGGTTTCAGAAAAAGTCGATTTTGTATCAAAACACCTATATTAGAACAATGCTATATATAAATCTAATATATATCCTAAGTCACGCTTTTGAGACATGGAAAATGCAATTTGAATTTCGTCCATCGGCCCAGTAGAACGAGATACATAGAACTGTCCCCCCTTTTTTTTTTCTTTTCGCAGTGTACTACTATTCTTTTCCTTTTACAAAATGAACAATTCAATGCATTTGTATAGTTTATTACAAGTTTTTAATAGTTTTAACACAGTCGATTTAATGCATATCATTAAAAATATTAAACTACTTTAAAATTTATTACAAGTTTTTAATAGTTTCAGCACAGTCCTCTTGAGTATAAACATTTCTCGATTTCAATTTGCAATAGTTTTACATTTCCTTTCCTAGAAAATAATCAGAAATATAAAATTAATAAATATATATATTTATACTGTAAAGAATAGGTTTAAAGTTTGCCAAAGTTTTGGCAAATTTGTATCGACTTTGTACGCTCATTTTAGAAGGGGCCCACCAGCGGCCGAGCGGTAAAGTCGCTGAACACTGGTAGTTCGGTCCGAGGTTCGAATCACGCGAACGGGCTGGCTGCATGGGCGTTTTCGTGGTTTTCCCCATGTGTAACGTGTATACGAGCCAGTTTCCCTTAGAAAGTCCTCCACGAAGGCATCCCTCCTCTTAGGCAGATAACCCCATACACACAACCACATACACATTTTAGAAGGAAAAAACGAGCAATTTCGAGAACGTCTGATTATACCTCCTTTCTTGAAAGAATGAAATATTCCAGGGAATCTTAAAGAATTTCCTCTAATTTTAAATTTAAAAAAAAAGAAAATCTGAAAGGTTTCAGATTTTAAATTACGTCTAAAGGGGCGTTTTTTTTTCAACATTTTGTGTGTTACCTTTATTTATTAAATATGTTCTTCGTACTTAAACCGTAAAATTCATTTCACGAGTAATATCGCAAAATAATTTTAAATTGAGCATATCTGTAGAATTTCCGATACACAGTCTCAGGGGTTGAAGATAAAATTGTTTTTTCTGCGCAACGTTGCCATTGATCGCTTTGAAATCCTTGAGTCTGTTAATCAAAAATTTCGCTAAAGTTTTATAAAATATAAAATCTATAATAAAACAAATTTCAAATTTGGGTTTTCAGATGCCCATATTCGCAGTAGGATTATGTCATTAAAAAATGGATGACTCTAGGTACCGTTGTTTTATCTCAATGCGAGAAACATATATACGTTTATGCATATTCTTCATTATTTAATTCCTTTAAATATAATACAGGCCTATAATATTTTGTGGCAACATTTTGAAAAGTGAAACGGGCATTCAGAGTGATTCGACGCAAAATCGCAAAACGAAAACTATAGTCTCTCAGGGACAAAGCCCTTTTGGACTAATAACATATTTTCTTCCATATATTAACTAATAAATTCTTATTTTAAACCAATAATAAAACGAACCTATATATTAACTGTCCCTAACTGTTAATCATAAAATTATCTAACGCACATTTCCGAAAAGTAAATGGAAACTCATAACAACTAATGTTCAAATCTTAATGAATTAATATTTCTTCAAACAGCTTTTTAGTACCACAGGAAAATTTCATGCAGTTATATTTATATTAAGAATAATATTTAAGAAAGGAAAAATATAAGACAAAACATTTTTCTCTTCGGTTTGAAGTCTTTAATTTTAGACACCTTACCACTCCCAACTTTTTTGTTACAAATGATTCTGAAATTAAAAATCATGAGCATGTGTATTGTAGCGCAAGTATATCAAAGGAAAGAAAACAGAAAATTGTTTTAGCTTAGTATTAATTATTTTTCATACAGTCTTTTGATTTTCATGAACACACAAAAATTAACTGCTTAAATTTAGACTCTTGTTCAGATTCAGATCTTTAGATAATTTAACTTCAATTCTTTTTCCTTTGGTCAATTTGAAAGGTATGCAATGAAATCATGGATGATACACGTTGAAATCATACGAGTTAATTTCCTTAAGACCTTACGGCAAATTTACCTCTGCGTTCTGTTTCTTTACAAACCCTGTTTTTAATCCAGGTTAATGGAATTTTAGAATGTGAATGAATGTAAGACACCCGAAAGTTGTATCATCTTTTCTTTCCCGTCAAACAGTTGTGGGGGGGGGAGACAACACGAGAAAAACCGGAAGTTAAAATAGGTTATGTTAAGGTCAAAAGTTTAAGGAGCGAAATATGCATTTACGCATTTTTTACATAAAAAATCCGTACATGAATATTATTCACGTAAGCGACCTTATCCTTCATTATGAATTACTAATATTTGGAGCTCTTTGTGGACTGCGTCCTCTCAGGTGTTAAAATTGTTGACTGTGACGGTTTCTGCGAAAATTTCGCAAGTCGACCTCCATCACTGCAAGTCCGGAAATTCGTCCATGAAGCATTTAAATATTTTCCCACTTGTGTCATGACATTTATTCACGAATGAATTTCAAATTAAATTTCTTTCGTGAAAGATATTTCATTATGGGCGCCTAAGTAGAGCGATTCAAGTTTTCGCTCGTAACGTTGAAAATTAAACTACGCCTGCTCTTAATTTCTTCATTTAAAAATGCATTATTTTACATTTATATAGATTTCACTTCATTATTCATCAGTAAAAAGGCATTTGATTGAAAGGTAATGTATTAATTAAAAAATGAACGTAAGTGTGCGAAAAATATTTTTTGCAAGACATATAATCAACCGAGCTGTATAATTCAGCCTTCTAGTTCATGAAAGCAATCTTCCTTTACGGATAATTTTACAGTCAGCTATTTGCAGACTAATTGAGCCGACTAATTATTAATATTAACTTATTAGAGACTTTCAGATAAGTAAAATAATCAGTTAGTTGGGATCCTTCAATTAATTAAAATTATTAAAGAATTTTAATCATTTATAAATAGCTACTATCATAAGATATTTCTCCCATTCTCCTAGCGTGCCTTCGTGGTGTAGTGGTTCTGCACGCTGGGCCGTTATTCCAGAGGTTCGTGGTTCGATTCCCGGAGAACGCGGTTGCTAATTTTTTATCTTGCTTGCTTCCGAAAAAAATCCTGTCTCTACAGTGGCGCCCGAACTAAAAGGGATGTGGATGATGACTCTCCACACCCGGGATTTGGCGATTGGGTCCTCTAAAAACCCCAGTCGTTCTTTAAAAGGGGGGTATATAAGGTATTTCTCCCACCTTCTTAGCGTGCCTTCGTGGTGTAGTGGTTCTGCACGCTGGGCCGGTATTCCAGTGGTCCGTGGTTCGATTGCCGGCAAAGGCGGTTGTTAATTTTTAATCTTGTCTGCTTCTAAAAATCCTAATGTCTCTATACTATGATCTAATTGATAAAAAAATAATTTTAGGTAAGTAGCCGATTATTTTCTACCAACTCACTATTTCTGAAAAATCAGATAAACTCATTAATTGCAAGACTACCAGGAAAAATAAGAGCTAACAATGCACTGCAGATTATTACTTCGAATAAGCATCTATTTTAAAACAAATTTTCCTCTGCTTCAGCTGAATTATCATGGAACGAAGAACTTCAACTGAATTGTCATGAAAACCATAATGGAAAGAAGCGTTTGGTTTCTCTAGCTGAAATCCATTTTCACAACGCCAGGAACATAAATACATGCAGATTCTTCACTATCTAATTTCTTTAAAAATAATACGGGACGATATATTTGCTAGGAACATACATATAAGCAGATTCTCCGTTATTTAATTTCTTAAAAAATAATGCAGGTCGATACATTTGCTGGCAACATATATGCATGTAAATTCATCCTTATTAAAGATCTTTAAAAATAATGCAGGTCAACACATTTGCTGGCAACATATATACATGCAGATTCATCATTATTTAATTTCTTTAAAAATAATACAGGGCGATAAATTTGGTGGCAACGATTTGAAAAGTGAATCAGCCGTACAAAGTGAACCGACATTTATATGATGGCCGAAAAATCCCGTTTCGAGACTAATGAAGGTCACCTTGAGACTAATAACCCCTTTTGGGCTAAAAAACAAAGTTCGTTCTGGATAAATATTTTTTACAAATTTAAGTAACGAAAAAACTTTAGTCTTTTAATAAGCTGTTAAAAAACTCTTTTCAGTGCAAAGGGGCTTTGTCCCTGAAGGACTATTTTCGTTTTGCGATTTTGCGTTGGTTCATTATAAATGTACGTTTCACTTTTCAAACTGTTGCCACCAAATGTTAGAGTCTTGCATTATATTTGAAGAAATTAAATAGGGAAAAATCTGCATAAATGTATGTATATTTCTCGCATTATGATAAAATTTATTTAGAGCCATCCAATTTTGAATGACGTAATCCTCCTACGAATACAGGCATGTGGAAAACCAAATTTGGAATTTGTTTTATTATCCATTTCATATTTTGTAAAGCATTT